GGCCCCGCCCCCGGTGTCCAGAGAGCCAAGGGCCAGAGCGCACAGACCCGCAGCCCAGCTCCAAGCACCTGCAAGCGTCTTCTGGACACTAGGTAGGATCTCGCCCAGCGCAGGGGCCAGGGTGGCTAAAGCAGATGGTTTGGCTGGGTCTGACCGGGCGTCACTGGGGCTGCGAACCGGGATGTCGAAGGGCCAATGGCATAGGCAGCGGGGTGGGAGGAGGCTGCGAGTTTGTTCGGGTCCTACAGGAATCCTGGCCTGGGAATGGGCAGCAGTGAAACTATTTTGGAAAAACGTGTTATCTGTCGAGGGAATGAGATTGTCCAGGTTGCTCCTTTGCTGAGGAGTTAGACTCACCAAGCCCAGAGCTCTGGGTGCAAGGATCCGGCTTGCGATCGCTAGTGCTCCCTGCCCCAATAGACCCATGTGTGTCAGATGAGAAAGCTGAGCCTGCCAGGTCTCATTCCCCTCCTGAACATCCGTGTGGCCTCCTCCATCTCTACACCCTGAGGCAGGAGAGAGATGGTGACCAGGGGAACCTCCCACACAAAGTGCTATGTGCTGTAAACCCCAGACTGTCCAGTGGTGCCTACAAGATTCACTCCTAGGGGCTGGTCAGGACTCAGGGCTGGGAGGTCCTGGTCCCTCTTCCTTCACAGCCCTCCAGCTGCTCTTGGGGAAGTCAAATATCTGCCTCAGATGAGGTGTGCTTACAAGCAGGGTATCTGGCATTGCCCAGCTGTGGGGACTGGTACTAAGAGGTGCAGCCTGGCCTGGCTTCTGCCCAGATGTCTTTGTGGTGGGATTTCAGACATGCAGGAGAAAGGTGACATGTAGTCACAGACATCCAAGTTCCAGTGTCTGATCCTTGGTATCTAGGACTCAGGAAAGGGGAGGCCATATGGCTCCAGGGCTAAGGGCCAGCTGTCCCCTAACCCCACCCGCTGAACCAAGCCTGCGGTCACAGAGCCCTTGGCCCCTCAGCAGCTATAGGCACTCTAACACCCTCTCAGTTGGGGCGTTTACCTTGTTCAGACCTTGGGGCACCAAGGGCCTCTAACCCTGCCTGTAATGGGCACGCATGTCCCTTCTTGGGCTTGTTTTCTAACTCCGTGGGGCTACCACTCCCGTTTCCCAAGACTGCTGAGATGAATAGGGTGGCCTTGTGCAGCCCCAAGTACAGTTCTCTCTGCCAGGTCCTGGTTCCAAGATATTAGTGAGTAGGGACAGGGTAACTGTGAAGACAGAGGGCCTGGGTGCGCTGACAGAGCACTGGGTGAGCCTTACCAGGCCTGCCCTAGAGCTTTGCCAACAGGGTGGGCTGGTCATGGTGATGACCATCACAGCCTTGGCTGGGCACAGTGAACTTACAGTCTTTGTGGGTACCAAAGTCCAAGTTCCCAGAGTACATTGGGCCAGATAAGCTTGAGGCCCCTTTAAGCCATAAGGTGTGGGGGGGGCAGTTTATAAGGACAGCACCACCCCTTGCCCTCAGCCCCCTCCCATTCCCAACCCAGACTGTGGGTGAGAAAGGCTTCAGTCCATGTACTCAGAACCATGGGAGAAACACCCAGGCCCAGTGGGTGGTACATGGGCCCAGAGAACTATATGGAGCCAGTCTCAAGATTATAGGCAGCTATGGCCCTGGGGAGGCATGGGGTTGGCCAGGATTCCAGCTCAGGGTTGACTTCAGCAGGGTCATGGGATAGAGGCCTGGAAGCAGCTCAGGGAGCACTCTCCACGAGAGGAACAAGGGAGGTGGCCATCCTGAACAGAATAGCACCCACGGGGCCCCAGACCAGGCTGCAGGGGGGCCCCAGACCAGGCTGCAGGAGAAAGAGCTGCACGAAGTTCCAAGAGGAAGGCCAGAACTGAGCGTGGCAGGAGACAGATCATAAGGGGGGATATGGTGAGGGGGACCAGGCTCAGTCAGAGAGGCCAGGAAAGTTCACTCAGGGCTTTTAATGCCAGGCTGAGGGCCACAGACTTTCTCCAGGGGGTGGCAGGAACTTGTGAGGGATCCAAAATAAATGAAGGTCTGGTGGAGTGGCTCAAGTGGTAAAACATCTGCCAAGCAAGCATGAAGCCCTGAGTTCAAACCCCAGTACCAGCAAGGGAAAAAAAACAAAGTGGTAAGTGAAGGTCTGGGTCTGAAAGGGATGGGAGGACTGGAGGTTACAGACAACTGTGACCAACACTTGGGTTCTCAGCCTGGGGAGCTTTACTCCCTGTGAAAAAGGTGGATCCAGGATCAGATTGTAACCCACTGGTCAGTCTTCCTGAGAAGGGGAGGCCCATGCCCAGAGCCTCCCAGGACCTCAGTGGGCAGCAGAGAGATGGAGAGGGTGAGGGGGACAAGGAATGTCAGGAATGCAGGGCTTGCTGGTCAGTTCCCTCCTGCAGGGCCAGGGAGCCTGGAAGGCTGCCCAGGTGGAGCCACTACCCCTACCCCCTCACACGTCTTCCCACCTTGCAACTTGGAGAGAGAGGATGGAGGTGCATATGCTATGGGGATTAGAGAAATAAAGCATGTTAATGGTTGGCACCAAGCCAATCCAAACAGTGACAGCAGAAATAGCTCACTCCATGCCCAGAGCTGAGTTCATTACCCCTGCTGCCTGGAGCCCCCTTTCCCAGATGAAGACTCTTGAGCCTGGTATGGTGGAGGAAATTGTTGAGATCACAGAGCCCATGCTTGTCTGGTCTTGGGAAGAATGGGGTGGCAGGAGGCCCAAGCCTGTGGGAGGCCTTGAATGCCAGGCCTATAGCTGAAAGTTGCCTGGAGGAGGCAGGAAAGATTCCTGGCTCAAAGTCATGCACCACACCCGTCCTGCAGGGAAGCCCCACCTACCTGAAGCCAAGATGTCCAGCAAGCGGGCCAAGGCCAAGACTACTAAGAAGCGGCCACAGAGGGCCACATCCAATGTCTTTGCAATGTTTGACCAGTCCCAGATCCAGGAGTTTAAGGAGGCTTTCAACATGATTGATCAGAACCGCGATGGTTTCATCGACAAGGAGGACCTGCACGACATGCTGGCCTCTCTGGGTGAGCAGGACAGGGTGGGGTCGGGTCTAGAGGGGCCCGGGCCAGGGCTGCTCTTCACTTATGGAACACTTCCTTTGAGGTGAGACATGCGATACCCACACCAGAGTACTTCATAACAGAAAGGGAAACTGAGGCACAGAACAGCTCAGGGATTTGCCTGGGGTCCAGCACAGGATTTGACCGTAGATGGGCTGACTCCAGAGTGGGGCTGTCTGGAGCAGATGTGTGCCTGGAGCTGCCCAGTAACCTTTCCCTTAAAGAGAGGAGATACGGCTACATAAATAAAAGTCTCAACTGTGGACTTCCCATTGTGCACATGCGGAAACTGAGGCCTAGAGGGGAAGCCAGAGGATCTTCTCTCTGTTCCCAGTGACACTCCCAGAATCAGGATCTTACAGCTGAAAGGGTTCAGGAATCAAGTCCAACTCAGCATTGCTCAGATGGGGAAACTGAGCCCAGAGGAGAGACTTCTGCAGCCCACACCTACTACATCCCTTCCTATGTGCTGGCCCCAGTTCCCAGCACATCCTGCATCCGGGCAAGGGCATCATGCCGAGGCTACAGTCAGGGAGGAAGAGTACGGTCGTGTGGGGTCAAGTTAGGGAAGAGCCTGGTCAGTCTCTGGCATTGCCCCATGCCTGCTGTCCTGTCTGTGCAGTGGGCCCCGTGCCGGTGTGTGCACCTGCCTGTGTCTGGTGGGAAACTAGGTGGTCCAGAGATAGGATAGATACTGCTCACCCTCTCTGCTGCAGGCCAAGCTCACTGAGGCCTCCCTCCCCCAAGAGGGAGTGAACTCCAGCAGGAAGTGAACTCCGGGGCTCCAGTCCGGGACCCTCCAGCCTCAGGAATGGGAGCTCTGGGGTTGTGAGAGGACAGGTTGGCCATGTATGCCCCACTGGGGTCCTGAAGTGTTTGTAGCTCTTCTGGGGCCTCAGCTTCTCTTGACAGTCCATGAGGATGCAGTGGAGTCCAGAGGGAACAGGGGCATGAAGGTTCCTCCCTATCTGCAAGCCAGCATGCTGCATTCGGTGCCCCAAAACCTAGACCTGACAACGGCCCTGGAGGGCTACCAGAATTGCGTGGCTCGCGTTAGTGGTCCACCGATCAGCCATGGCCTCCTGGTTAAGAACATCATCCTCAGGTTCAAAAAGAGCAAGAGCAGCAAATAAAATAATAAGCTCTGCAGATACCGTAAATCTCAAAGCAGTCTTCTGTGGTAGATGTAATTACCAATGAGGAAACTGAGGCTCCAGCTAAGTAATTTGCCCAAGGTTGCACAGCAGCTAAATGGTTCCAATGGCTGTGCCAGTCACTGTCATGAGCATTTTGTAACCACAACCACTCAATCATTCATCTTTACAATTCTCCTACAAGACATGGCAAAATGGGGCACAGAGCAGGGATTCAAATCCAGGTCTGCATGACACCAGAGTTCATTGATTCAGCTACCTTTGAAAATGTGTCTGGAATTCGGGGCCAGGCTGCCTGGGTTTGAATGCTGGCTCTATTGCTTACTTGCTGTGTGACCTTGGACAAGTTGCCTGGCCTCTCTGAGTCTTGGTTCCTCACCTATGAAGTAGGAATAAGAATGTGATGGTTATGGGGTGGGAAGAGTGAGATGAAGTCAAGCATATGGCACCCAAGACACAGTAGCAGTCAGCAGATGGCTGCTCCTATTTTCTGGCCAGCATTGTCAAATCAATGACCCCTGGCCAGAGGTGGAACTGGTGAGGCAGCCAGGGCCTCGTGGACATCCCCAGTGCCCAGAGTAGAGCAGGCCTGATGGAGCTGGCAGGAAATCAGTCACCTGGCATCTGCCTCAGTTTCCAAAGCTTACCTTTGGGAGGGGACTGGGAGTGAATTGCTCAGGCTGGTGGACAGCAGGCACCAATGTCTACCCACCACAGGAAAGAACCCCACCGATGAATACCTGGAGGGCATGATGAGCGAGGCACCAGGACCCATCAACTTCACTATGTTCCTCACCATGTTTGGGGAGAAGCTGAACGGCACAGACCCTGAGGACGTGATCCGCAACGCCTTCGCCTGCTTTGATGAAGAGGCCTCAGGTCAGTGCCCATCTGAAGCCTGGGATGAGCTGGGGCTGAGCCCTGTGCCCGGAGTGGGCTGGGCCAAGGGCGTGGTGGTGGGGCTGGTGCCTGTCATCAGTGCTCTGCTCCCAAAGGCCAGAACTGGGGCTGGAGGAGGGTCGCAAGCAGCAAGAGCACCTGCTTAGCAAGCATGAGGCCCTGAGTTCTAACCCCAGTACTGCCAAAAAAAAAAAAAAAATCAAAACCCAAAAACACCAAAAAACCAAAGGCCAGAACTGCCATCACTATCTCCCAATTTCTGATGCCAAGTGACTTACTGTCCCCTTCCCAAAATGTCCACATCCACCAAGGCTACATACTCCTTTCTGTTTCAGATCTTTCCAGAAAGCTGACCATGTCATTGCTTTCTTGCCAACAGGAAGGAAACCAGCCCTGTCCTCAGACCTTTTGTCCCACAGCTAGTGTTTCCCTGGGACATGCAAAGTGACAAGGGCACCAGGAAAGTTTCAGGGGCACTTGGACCACCACAGGCCCAAGTGCATTTAGAACATTCTCCTTACTGCCTTCACAGTCCCCTGGGAGGCTGGCACAGAGAAGTTAAGTACCTTCCCTAAGGTCACACAGCTAGGAAGAATAGAGATTATCATTCCGACTCAGGCAGCAGAATCCGGAGCTCAGGTGCCCAGCACCCCCTGCACTCACAGCACCATGCTCCCTGCAGAAACTCCTTGCAGACAATCCCACTGCTGCATTCTTCCCTGTGGGACACTCCCAGCTCCTCCCACCCATCCCCCTTCCTTGAACTCACCTGAGAGTTCGGTGGGGTCTTTCTGGCCCCACCCCTGCTCTCATGGTCCCTGTCCTGCCTCCAGGTTTCATCCACGAGGACCACCTTCGAGAGCTGCTCACCACCATGGGCGACCGCTTCACAGATGAGGAAGTGGACGAGATGTACCGCGAGGCACCCATTGATAAGAAAGGCAACTTCAACTATGTGGAGTTCACCCGCATCCTCAAACATGGCGCCAAGGACAAAGATGACTAGGTTGCTCCACAGCCCTCCAACGCCCGGGCCCTGCCCAGTCACCTCCCCCATCACTCGTCTGTACCAGTCCCATGCCCATGGTCCACAGGACCTTCTAGGGGACCTCCCCCAACCAAAGGTTTAGGGTCCTGTCCCCTAGGGAGGAAATGAGCCCAGAACAGCACAGGGCCAGGCGAGGGCACACAGCAGGCTTGTGGCAGGTGCTCCCACTGTGACCCAGACCCCAGAAGGGAGTCTCAGATCCCTGCAAGGAAGGACCATCATCTAGGAAGGTGAACCAAAGCCCCTCAAGAGTGGTCACCCCCCAGGAGGAGGGGGCCCTGTGTCTGCTGTCAGATACTACTTCCCCGTGCACCCCACACAAAACACTCACCACATCCCCCCTCAGAGAATGAGACAGAAGACGACCCCTGTGCTGTGCAGCCACTGAGCACACCCACCCCACCGAGAGTGCGCTAAGGAAGGTGGGCATTCAGGGGTGATCCCTCCATGGGAGGGAAAGTGCAATACAAGGCTATCACTGCCTCGGGGTGCCTGCCTGTCTGTGACTGGGATGGGATAGGGGACTTGGGAAGGGCACGCCTCCGGTTCCTACTCTGACACTGCTGCTCTGGCCAAGGGAAGGGTTGGGAGGCGTCCCCCCAGCCCTAGGACCCCTCAGAAAGAGTATGCTCCACTCAGTGAGGCTAGATCAGCAAGAGGAAGAGGGCAGAGGGAAACAGGCATCCTGGGAGATAGAGGGCAGCATGGGGGAGGACACACAGCATTCACCAGTCAACTCCATGAGGGGTCTGGGGCCCTGGGGAGCAGAGGCCAAGGTCAAACAGCTCATGGGACTAGAGCCTGAATCTCCGGGTCACCTTACTGCTCTAGAAAGCCAGGTAGTCTTAGAAGAGGGCCTTTGGGAGCAGTGATAGGGTGGCTTGGGGTGGAGATGGGAGTGACCGGTCACCAACCCTAGCTGACTTCCTTGGCCCACCCAGGCCCAAGCAGCAAGGTGTGCTCAGGGGTAGCACCCTCGGCAGCTGGAGAGTGTGAAGCATGGGATCACATGCCCAGTCATACACAGCAGGTCATGGCCTGGGTGCATTCCCCCACCCCTGATTGAATGACAGAGACATTGGTTGGTAACACTGCCTGAGACATAAGAGGTGAAGACACTGGCCAAGAAACAGGACAGAAGTGACAGAGCCTGTCTGGGTTCACTCTGTGGTTTGCACACATCCCAGCTGATTCCAATGGAGGTCAGGGGCAGGTGCTGGACCCAGTGTGCCCAACTCATTCCCTAGGGATCACCCAGGGTGGGCCAGCCAGGCAGCAGCAAAGGTCTGAGATCAGGACCTCAGGAGCACCGAGCAGCAGGGGAACTGTGCCATCCCAGAGGTCCTAACCTCCCCCACACCTCTGCCCACCCCTCCCCCACGCCACTGACCACCCCTCCCTTCATTTCAAACTGAGTCCCACAGTCCCCTGATCTCAGCTCCAGATGTGCCAGTCACAGCAAGGTCCAATCCAGGCCCAAATACTATCCCAAACTTGGTCCCAACCACACCCCATCCCAGCCCCACACATGGCCCTGAGTGACCCTCAGTCTGGCCACCCCTCACTGTAGCCAGGTCTGAGGAGGGTCTGGCTGGGGTGGGGCTTTGGGTTTTCTCCGGAGACTCCCACAGCACTGGCCACACCCTTCTGACACTATGGCCAGAGAGGTCCTTCTCACTGAACCACTGCAGCCCACAAGGCCTTCCTGAAAGAAGGCAGGGCCTTCCTCTCCCGGGGTTCAGAGCTGACCTCCCTCTGTCCCAAAGACTGGTTTATGCCAATTGGCCAGGAGAGGACAGGAGCAGGCCAGCCTTGCTGGTCCCATAGCTGAGCTGGGGCTGAGGGAACCAGAGGAAAGGGAGTATTCTGCATCAGGCAGAGCAGGAGCAGCAGGGCAGGAGAGGTCCTGCAAGGACAGAAAAGGTGTATGGCATGGTGACAGCCGGAGCAGAGGTCAGGAGCTGGGAAAGACAGTTTCTCATTCTAAAGTATTCAGATCTGAGCAGCTTTTCAGAGGGAAAAAAAAGTAATAATAATAATGCCAGGTGTGGTGTTACATGCCTGTAATCCCAGCACTTGGGAGGCAGAGGCAAGAGGATCTTAAGTTCGGAGCCACCAAATGAGCTCAGTTTGAGCTACAAAGTGAGACTCTGTCTCAAAAAAAGAAAAGAATAAGAAGCTAGTGGGTTTTATTTGTCTTGAGCAACCTTTCTTGAGAGGTAACAGTGAAGCACTCCCAGAACACTGCAAGTCTGCCACAAACCCAGAAGTCACAAAGGAAAAGACTGATGGGTTTACATGCATGGAGACCAAATATGTCCTGCAAGGCTAAAGAAAACAGAAGCAATGTTAAAAGCCAAATGCAAACCAGGAGGATAAACGTGCAGTAAATTCAACAAGAAGGCAGTCAAAGGACTCTACAAAGAGCTTCAGGGGCTGGTGGAGTGGCTCAAGCAGTAAGAGTGCCTGCCTAGCAAGCATAAGGCCCAAAGTTCAAGTCCCAGTGCCACCAAAAAAAGAAAAGAGCTTCAGTAAGTCAGTAGCTCACACCTGTAATCCTAGCTACTCAGGAGGCAGAGATCAGGAGGATATCAGTTCGAAGCCAGCCCGGACAAATAGTTCATGAACCCCTATCTCGAAAAAACCTATCACAAAAAAAGGACTGGTGGAGTGGTTCAAGGTGTAGGCCCTGAGTTCAAACCCCAGTATGGCCAAAAAAAAAAAGTCAACTCAGTAGGAAGAAAGGGCAAATAACATGTAAAAGAATCACAGAAGAAATGCAAACACTTACCAAGCATATTTTGGGCCATGGGGGTGGTGCATGCCTGTAATCCTCAGCCAGAGCTGAGGCAGGAGGTTCTCAGATTTGAGGCCAGCCTGGGCTACACAGTTAGACTTGTTTCAAGAAAAAGTGCTTAGCAGACACTTTTGCATGCTTGTCATTGTAAACTTGTGCATTTTCAATTTCCTTTCCTCGTTTTGTTACTAGAGATTTGTGTAGGACCGAAAGCCTCCACTCAACCTTGCTGGCTTAGGGGCTTAGCCAGAGGGAGGGATGGTGTTCCAGTTTCTTGTTTTGTGGACAACGAAGGGTGAACACAGAGACAGGAAAGTTATGGGAAAGATGAAGAGGGGTCCCGAGTGGGTTGCCAGAGAAGTCACGTGGTCTGAAGTTTTAATACAATTTCTCCAAGGCGCTGCTCAATCTCTATGCTAATTAGGTGTGCAAAAAGTAGGATTCTAGTTGGCTATGCCTGGAACATTCTGATTGGTTGTGTCGTAGTCCTTACACTGTCCTTATTCTGGTCAGTCCTGCTTTTCCTTCTTTCCACCCTTTAAGGTCACCAGGGAATTATACTCACTTTTATTATACTTAGCTCATGGATGAACATCTCTGGGTTTGAAACAATCACATTCCCAAGAAAGAGAGTTCTAGTTAGAGAAAGTTGTACCGCCTCGGGCAGCTCACATGTGGTACACTTTTGTTTACTTGCTTATTGACTTAGGTTTTTTGAGACAGGGTCTCCCTGTGTAGCCCAGGCTGACTGTGAACTCTTGATCTTCCTGCTTCAGCCTTCTGAGTGCTGGGTAACAGACACTCGTCAACCACACCCAACTCAATTTTTAAAATTTTAATTGTGGTGAAATATAACATATATAAAACATAAAAGCTACAACTGAAGCTGGGTGCTGATGGCTCACACCTGCAATCCTAGCTACTTGGGAGGCTGAGATGGGGAAGACTGAGGTCTGAGAGTGGCCCAGGCAAATAGTTTGAGAGACCCCCCAACTCCCAAATAACCACAGCAAAAAAGGACTGGAGGTGTGGCTCAAGCAGTAGAGTGCTTGCTTTGCAAGTGTGAAGCCCTGAGTTCAAACCCAAGGCGCACCTCCCTCCAAAAAAAAACTACCATCCAAGCCATGTTTAAGCATATATCATGTATATTCACACTGCTGATGGCCACACCACCATCCATCTGTGGAATTTTTTCATTGCTATCCCCAAATGATGCGCCACGTCCACTGAACACGAACTCCAGGGCCCAGAGTGTGGCAGTGGAGGGCTCCCCTTGCATGCACAAGGCCCTGGGCTCCATCCTCAGCACAACAAGAAAACCAAAACCATGAGCTCCTCACCCTCCAACTCGGCAGCCACATTCTACCTTCTGTATTTGACTGCTTTAGAACTTAAGTGGAAGCAGACAGTATTTATCTTTTTGTAACTGGTTTATTTCACATACCATAATGATGTCCAGGCTCACTGAATTGACACGTGTGTCATGTGTCAGAACGTCCTTCCTAGGGCTGGAAGAGTGGCTCAGGCTCAGGCAGTAAGAGCACCTGCCTAGCAAGTGTGAGGCCCAGAGTTCAAACCCCAGTGAAACCTGCCCCCATAAAAAAAGAACTTCATTCCTGTTTAAGGCTGAATAATGTATTTTTATTGTTATGCTGGGGGTATATTGTGGCGTTTACAAAAGTTCTTACAATATATCAAATGTATCTTCCTTGAATTCACACCCTGCCCTCCATCATTCTCCTTTATTCCGTCTCTCCATTCCTGGGAAAGTTTCGGGCGGAGTATTTCCTGGTGTGCATAGATCACAGTTTGATTATCCATTAATCCACCACTCACTTGGGTACAGTTTCTCCAAATCCTCACCAGCACTTGGTGTTATCACCATTTTTTAAAAATTTTAGTTGTTCTGGCTATGGTGATATGTCATTGTAGCTTTAATTTGCTTCATTTATTTGTGTATTTATTCATTCATTTACTTATTTATTTAATTGTGGTCCTGGAAATGGAACCTAGAGCCTGGTACACCCTAGGCAGCCTGTAGCCATTTTCTAATACTAATTGTCATCGGTGGCTGGTGTTTGTGAAGTTTTCCTTTAAGTTAGGTATCCTTAGCTGGGCACTGATGACTCACGCCTGTAATTCTAGCGACTGAGGAGGCAGAGATCAGGAGGATCACAGTTTGAAGCCACCTCTGGGCAAATAGTTTGCGAGACCCTCTGGAAAAAAAAAATCACAAAAAAGGGCTGATGGAGTGGCTCAAGGTATAGGCTGTGAGTTTGAACCCCACTACTACTACAAAAAAAAAAAAAAAGTTAGGGACCCTGTACTCTGGACTTTATCCCAGGTCCTTGACTTCAATCCCAGAGCTTTATTGAGTAAAAGCTCGATCTACTAGATGGAGTGTGGACATGCCAAAGGAGATGCCCCAGGGGTGTGTATGGTGAGAAAGGTGGATGATGGGGTTAGGCTCTAACTCATATCGGGACAAGCGCTCCCCTTTGTGCTGACTCCTGGTATACCATTTTTGCTGTTAAACTATCTCATCAATTAGGCCCACTCATGAAATTTGGGTCACTGTGATACAGATGTTTGAACAGTCCTCTAATTCAAAGGATGGGTTTCGTCAGACGCTCCCTTCAGGACAGGTGTCTGTCCTTCAGATAAGTACTTTTGTTTGTAGACACTT